CTGGCTTGCTCGTTACAAACCTGAGATTACCAAAAATGGAAATGTGGTAAATTGCACAGGAGATGAGAAGAACAAACACACCAACAGCATATGAAAAACACTTTTCCTTCATTTACCCCAAAATTGGTTTCTATTGATGATGTTCCCAGAATATCAGTAATCAATTCCAACCGATGAATGACACTTTTCCAAGGTAAAAGTGGTTTTCCTGTGAGAACCTCAGTGAAAATACAGCCAATACTCCAAATGTCGATGGCAAGAGTATATTGCAAAGAATAATAACGACAAACAGTCAATACAAAATTGAAGTATTGTCAAAAAATTTATCTGAAGACTTGACACGGTTACCCGAAGAAAGTAAATTCAACTCCCAGGAGAGTTCATTAGTCCTCCCTGAACAAGAATTGTATCATCTACACATTACTGTACTACTTAAGGCACTAAGAGAAGGTGTGTTGAATTCTAGAATGAACACTAATAAGGCTGTAAGAATATTTCATGGGCAAGGAAGGATAAGAGCAAAATAAACAAATGGTTGCTGAACAACAACAAACAACAAAATGAATGCAGGCAAAGATGCCCTATCAAGCACTAACTCAAGAGCCACTGATGGAAGTCTATTTACCTTGGAAAAGAAAGATCTGCATAACTTAGGAGCCCTATACCATGTTGTAGCAACATAATCCTGCAAAAGCATCAGTAAGAAAAAAGATCAACGTAACATCAGTGAAAGGTAATTGGAAAGAAAGAATGAGAGGATGAATGAATACTTCAAAAGGCTACAAATATACAGGGTATTAAATACACCATCCAAAAAAATATGGGGATGTTTGAGCTGTCTAAGCACTTGTATTTCCTAAATTCAAAGCAAATGACAATCTATATTAGGGAGTCATTTCCACTTCACTCTCCAACGTTCTGTTTCTTCCTCGCCATCACAGGGCAAAGCTACGAACAGCCCACTCTTCACCGCGCAAGAACGACGATGAACAGTGCCGAAGAAGGACTCCTAAACCTAATCGACCAGAAAAAACGAGTGGGTAGGAGCGTCTGGACTCGGCAAGTCCCAAAACAACCTTGAATCATATGAATAGGGAGATTATTACCTTAAATGTCACAGTCTCAGCCGTGAACAGGGCCTTGGGTGACAATCAGAAAGTGTTTTCTGTTTTTTGTGCGTGAATCATCCTTCCAAGCTGAATCCAGAGTTTAGAAAGGTATCACGACCAAGATCCAAGAAAAACAACAGTCTCTAACACAACAAATCTCCAAAAATCAGGAGAAATTGCTCCATGAAGCCATACGGACCTCAGAACCCTAGCCCTGCGTACATCGAACAAAAAATGAGAAGCGGATTTTGGAAAATGAGTTGGGAAAGCATCGTGACTCACTTCATAGGGGAGAGCAGCAAACGGCGTTAATTAATTCTGGTTGTTCACACGGTAAACCTTCACTGGCACTTAGTATTTTTAGTAGATATAAAAGAGGAACTTTTTAAGTCCATACGATGTGCCACATAATCCTGCCATGTCATCATATAATAATTATTAATTACTCTATTTGTATGCTTTTTATTTTTAATTATTACATTCTATTTTTTATTGCATATTGATATGGAAACAAAATATTGTTCCATTATATAGAATCAACCTTATTTATACTACGTAACTTTCAGAATCTACCTCTACTTACTCCGTATTAATTTGTATTACAAGGATTCAACCATCCCTTTTTTATTTATAATTAAAAACAAAAAGCATAAAATGTAATTATCACAAGATTTTTTAACTTAAAAATGATAGTGATATATACTATTAAACGTTCATATATGAAAACATGTAAAACTTCTGATCAAGTACCTTAAGTTCATACATATAAATATATTTTTTTTCACAAGTAAACGTGTTGTTTAGCCCAACCAAAAAAATAAATATGTTTAATTGTTTCTTTATTTTTACAACTACAATTTAAATATTCATTCACTTCTGTAATAGATTCCTAACCCAAATTAGGAAATCTTCATACGTTTAGAATGTTTTTAATTCAATTGATTTAGTCTCAGACAAGATCAGATCAAACATCAATCATAATAATAATAATAATAATAATAATAATAATAGTAATAATAATAATAATAATAATTAGTATTACTATATATACATATAATAGACATCTTCCACACTGTATTGCTTCCGACCAAATTAGAACTGAAAATGTCAATCTAATTTAATACTACGTACTCCCTCCGTCCCAATTTGATGATCCCATTTTTTTTGGCTCAAAGATTAAGAAAGTGGTTGAAAAGGTAAAAGTTGTAGTTGAGATTTGAGTAAAAAAAGGTGAAATGATGTGGACCACATATTTCTTTCCAAAAAGAGAAATGAGACTATTAATTTGGGACGGCCCAGAAAGAAAATACGGGATCATCAAATTGGGACGGAGGGAGTATATCTTATTAATGATATTTTCAATGTGACGAAATAAATTAGTAAATTGAAAAATGCTCCATTTCTCAATGTAATGAAATAATGAGTAAAATGTATGATCTCACTAATAAATTTATAAATACTTATTTCATACCATGTTGAATGAGAAATACAACCTCCGTCCCAAAAAGAGTTGCAAATTTGACTTTTCTTAGTCAAACAGTCTCGTTTTGTTCACTTAATTAGGATGTCAATTTTTAATTATATTTCGATTTGGAGTTTACAACTTTGAAGAGATTTTAATGTAGTTTTTGAATATGTAAATTTTAATTATTAAAAACTAAATTAATTATCCATACAGAGGGTTGACTTTTATTATTGGTTGACCAAAAATTGTTGACTTTGCAAAACAAATTGGGACGGAGGGAGTATATATTTAGAAATATAGTATTTTGAGATGCTTAATGAAGTGACATAATGTGAAATTAATTAAGAAATTTTTGTGTGAATTCGTTAAAATCGAGTTCATAACGATTATGTTTATGAATTTTCATAATTTGGGAGATTCCGTGAATTTAGCCCATTCAATTAGATTTAATTCATTGCAGTAGAGTCAGACAATTCAACTCATTTTAGTATTATCAAATGGCTTTATATTAGACTGAGTTTATTTTGCTTTTACATCACATTAAATTATACTGTGTATATGATTCAAAAAATATCAAATTTTTAATTAAATAAATTATGTACTGCCCGTGCATCGCACGGGCTTGAAAGCTAGTGAGTATATATAAATGTATAATGTGGAACAGCTAGGGGTGATTCGGTACGGTATACCTTGTATTTTTCTCATATCTTTGTCAGACCAAAACTTCCGGTATGCAAAATTTGCATACCTTTACCTTACCGAAGTTTCGGTATACCGCATTTCGGTATACCGCAGTTTCGGTTCGGTAACGGTACGGTATCGGTAAATTACCGTGCATGTCTCTCAATACAAAAAATTATCATAGACTAATGAAATATACTAAATCGTTATTACTAGTGACATATTAAATCTATTATTAAAATGTTACAAAATACAATTAGTAATCTATTGATGTCAATTCAATATTGAACAATAATATTAGTAGGAAAAATTGATAGTAATAATCCCAACTATTGACGGTCCGCTCATAATAATCCCAACTATTGATTATTCCAGAATAATCCCAACTTTAGGGACCTTCCGCCAATAATGGTCCCTATGAATAAATTCTTGTAGTTTCTAAAGGGGATGAGATGAGATACAACAAGTAATCCCTATAAATAATCTCAACTTTTAATTTTTACGCTTAATTTCTATTTAAAATTCACTTTTTATAGAGGTAATATCTGGTCATGGACCGTTATTGGCGGACAGTCTATATAGTTCGGATTATACAAAAATAATCAATAGTTGTGATTATTTTTAGCGGACTGGCAATAGTTGGGATTATTAATGTCAATTTTTCCTAATTATTATCAGTATATTTAAGCAATTCAACATGCCACATATTAAAGTAACACATTCTCCTAAAATAACATGAAAAGTATAGATATAATTAAATCAATAGTGGTGATCTCTAATAAAAATAAATAAAACTATTCAAATAACAAGGATATAAAATCATTTATTCTTAATATGATATTGTGTATGTAGTCATTTTTAAAAAAAAATTAAAAGGAAAAGGGGCAAATAAGCCCTCGAACTAATCAAAAAAGTGCAAATAAGTCCTTTTGTAGGTGGTTCTGTCCGATCATCGTCATTTGGGGAGGTTCTCGGTGGATTTTTTTAATGAAGTTTTTTGAGCATCTTCTTCATTAAGTGTAGTTTAGCCATACCAAATTTCAGCTAAAAATTCAACCAGGAAGGCAATCAAACGATTTTCGGAAATATACTGCGTTGTTTAACTGCGCAATTATCTTCCAAAATTCATTTGATTGTCCCTCCAGATTGAATTTTTAGCTGAAATTCGGTATGACTAAACTAGACTTAATGAATAAGATGCTCAAAGTATTTCATCAAAAATTCCACAGCAAACCTCCCCAAATGACAATGGTAAGACGGAACCTCCTACAAAAGGGCTTATTTGCACTTTTTTTTATTAGTTCGAGGGCTTATTTGCCCCTTTTGCCTTTTTAAAATTGAATAAGACTTTCGGACAAAATTGTGTGTCTCGAGTCGCGGAATCCCTATGTAGATACACTTGTCACATAAGTGTATCTCTCTTCACTCATTAGCTACTTAGTAGCCGAGCCATCACGACTTGCAACTCTTGGAACAAGACGGACTTGTTTCTTAACATTTGTACATTACTCATTAGTCATTAAGGTTAGCGTAATAGAAGTCTATAAGATTATAGTGGGTTTGAGAAATTGAGCCTTTATTTTTATAGTTGTAACCAACTTAAGTATTTATTTTGGGCTTCAAAATTGTAATGGATTTCTACAATATATTAGAATTAAAAGTAATTGTTGAGTAGGGACTCGATACGGTATTATAACGGTATACTAATATTTTGGTATTTGAAGGTATTTTCGGTAACTGCGGTATACCTATATTTGGGTATGATATTTGTTGCAGAAATCCTAAATCAAAACCCAAAATCTGAACCCTTTTTCTCTCTCGAAGCGCTTTCAAGACTGATCAATCCTCCGCATTCTCTATCCATCGCATCGCAAGAGATTTGTGCTGTGCACAACAGCAAAAGCCTTCTCTAGACGATGAAACGGGGAGGGGGACATTACGGCGGCAATGAAGATTCTTCCGCCGACAAAGCATATTCCCAGGTTCAGCATCACCCCCAACACGGCAGGTCTGAAGAACAGCAGCAGCAATGGAGATGGGAGCGAGAGAGCCCCAAACTGACCACCAACGCTATGTCACCTAACATGTTCTCTGAAGGCAAGTTTATCGTCTTTATTTTCTCGATTATATCATGTTTTTACCCTAATTGAACATGAAACATGTTCAGTACTTAAATCAGAGTACTTCTCTACCAGTAAACGTCCAGAGGTGGATTGCGTGGTAGATTGTACATTTTCATTACAAACTTGAAGGATCTGGTTTCACAATTTCACGAGAAGAATAGATCTTTGTTGCCAAATCTTCAACCTAAAAGGGAGCGGAGAGGGAAATAGTTTATGTTAGGCTCAAAGTTCACAATCTTTGGTTTACAAAAGAGATGCTTTTAGTGATAGGCTAGAGAGAATGTACATGGGATGCTTTGAACTAATGTTGGAGGTCTGGAGGGTGCTTAAGCTTCCAAATGAAGTGTGTCAGGACCAGTTTGGGGCCTAAAGATCATAAATTGTAGGATCGTAACTCGGATCCTAAGGTCCTACATATACATATGTATGTGTGTGTATGTATGTTATATATTAAAGTAATACAGTAATACACTAAAATAATGCTCCATAATATTAAAAAAAGTAATATATAGTATGGAGTAATAAATATAGTAATAATAAACTCAAGATATATTAAAGACTAGAGGAATAACGTAGTAACAACCAAAAGAAATGATTAGTACACTGAAATGAATAAAATAAAAGTTAAGAATAAATAAAAGTAATAATAATATATGATAATTTGATTGCAATAATGATAATGATGATTAGTAAACAATTTAATTGCAATACTTCACCACTGCCCAAGGTGACAAGTAGAGTTGAAGTGGGTCTACATTTCTACTACAATACTAAGCCAAAGCACAATGCATAAATAAATATTAGGGCTGGATGTTGTATGGCGCAGAAGATGGTGGAGGTAGATCACAGAGAAGAAGCGGGAAGGGATTATGGAGGTGATTTAGAGTTCTTCCCATTTATAAATGTGAAATGATACACTTGTTTTTAAAAAAATTCCCACAACTTCCCGCATATAAGAATTTCTTTCCGGCGTTTTTTGAAGTTCCAATTTTTTGCGATTCATAAGTGATTCTACGAATCTACTAATTTACGCAGTGATCCTACTGAATTTGAGATCTTTTGTGGAAACAAGATCGCTCCGATCTTTTGTGGAAACAAGAATGATCTGATCTTTTGTAGAAATGAGATTGCTGAAGGTGTTCAGGAGTGTAAATTAGCACAATCCTGCAACCTGGATCACAATTTTGACTACCATGTGTCAGATGATCTCCAAGTTCATTAGGGGTCTTTTTAATTTTATTGATCACTAGCCACTGGAGTTTAACACCAAGTCTATGCCTGTTTGGTACCATTTTATTACTTTCTTGTATTTACATAAAAAATTCTGTTGCCCAAATGTAGTAACAATGTTGTTCTGTTATTCTAAATATAGAGCCTATCCTGACCCCTTAAAGTTTTTTTCCTTCTCATGATCTCATTTTTGTCATACTGAGATCTATATATGTCATTGAATATGAATTAATAGAGGCGTAAATCCTGGTAACTTGACATGAAGAAGTATATAAAAGGTAAAAGAAGGCAGTCAGGCACACAAAAGTTATAATTTTTGGGAAATCTCATTTTTCTATACAATGTACCGAGAACATGGGTTAGTGATTATATTCCATTTCTAAAAAATGTGCCTAAGGGAGTCTGCTAGCAACCATCGCTTTCTTTCCATAACTAATTGGTCTGCTTTTGGCTATGTTTAGAAGAACGGACTAAATCTGAAAGCTATTGTCTAATTTAGATATTATTGCTGGGAGTTAGTTAGAGATTACCGAAGCTTAAATACCAACTGAATGAAGTAGACTCGTTTGGATACACAACTTAAACAATGACTGGAAAAATGTAAAATTACCATAAAACATTTTTTAGTAGAAATGAGATAAATTTTGAATAACGAGAGGGCAAAGTCGGCATACGCTTATGGTAAATTACAGATCTGAACCGAAACACCACAATCAGTAACGTTTCAAATTGGCTGATTAATTTTTGTTTCAGTCAAGTTCCGCATTTGCAGTAATTGTGTAGATTGATTAAATTTCAACTCAAAATGAGCTGAAAGTCATAGAAACATATCCTCTATCTTTCTGAAAGACTTTTCTAAATATTGTTTTCTTGCGGTGGCTAGAACGATTTGGGCCTGATTGACCAAGCTTAGCGTCACAGCAAAATGATTAAAAATTTAAAATAATGTCCTGTTGGTGCTGAAGTGAAGCGAAACCATGATAAAAGACAACCTTTTCTATGTAAAAAGGTCAGTCATGTTGGTCAGGAATTCAGGATCATATGAATAAGCCACTGAATGTTAACTTGATTCTCACAAATTATTATTTTTAGTCCCAACAGAATATACTTTTTATGGTCAAAGGAAAGGCCATAGTGCACTTGTAGTCACTCATTCAGGACATTCACACATTTCAGCTATATATAAGTATATAAGTTATGCTTTGGGGCTTGGGCAGATAAGAAATATTACATGACCATTATCAAACAGATTGTCATCCTTCCCTTTCATGAGATTAACCCCACAAAATTTGAAAAAAATAATAATATTTCATAGCTAATATGGTGTAGACAGCTATTTTATTATCAAACAGATTGTCAGTTATTATCTTCTGTGTTAGGCTGTTAGTTATAATATTATAATATTGTGAAATATTATAATGTTTTATTATCTCCATCTTTAGTTATTATCATTCTTTTACTTTATTATTAATTACATTATTTGCACTTTTTTAAATAAATTTGTGTAAAAGTTGACTCTTATGCGTCATTGTGCAACGAGGCTTACGCAATAGGCAACGCTAACAAACCGCCTTAAACACCCAATACGCAATTTCAAACCTTGCTGCTAAGCACACTACTACACTAGCAAAGTAAGTATCCTAGACGAAACACTCAATGGGTGGTGTCTGTATTAGCATTCATAACACAGTAATAATAGGATGCATTTGTGAGAAAATTATACCAAAATTTAGTAGGATTGAGGCAACTAAGACATGCCTATACAAACACTGATGACTACTTTATTGATAATAAAGCTAAATGAAGAAATATAAGTTCTATGCTGCCACAACTAGATTGCACCAAGGCTTAGTTGACTTGTGAACAAAGCTAGCATGTTAAGTACTCAAATTTCTTATTTTGCACCTTTCACCTCAACCCATATGTTGTTGCACCTTGGTTGTATGTAGTTTCTAAACTATATATCTACGATACAATTTAAGTAATGTAAACAATTAGGATTAACATACCAGGTGAACCTCTATATTTCCTTGCTGAGTATCATTTCATGAGTGGCTGAGTGCTACTAATAACATTCTTTGATGACTATAATGCAGTTATTAACATATTGTGGCCAATGTGTCTGGCTCATACTTCATTTGTCATATTGCACTTGATTATTTTACTTATTTTGCAAGGCACAACACATGATACATATTGCATATTCCATGCCACTACAGAAACAGCATTAGTTTTGCTTTGGTTTATTTTAGCTGCAATGCTGCATACTGACTATTGGTGATACTTCTATGACTAGTTGTAATACTTTCCAAAAATACTCAATGTCTTATTTGTACCCTTTTTAGCTTTATTTTGGTTCTTATCACTCCTAAGATGAGTCTTTTTGGTGTTTCTTATGCAATAATGAAGTTGTAGCTTGTAAAGCTGGAAGTGTAGTTAGATGAATATTGACTCAAATTTTCTATAGTCAGCCATCTTTTGAAAGTCGATGTATAATTGACACGTATAACATGACAAAATATTCGAAATTATTTTGCATCAGGCTAATGTCTCTCTGATCCATTTGTATTCTCCCCATTTGACTTGGAATGGTTTGTAAGAAAGTGGAGACCGTATTATTGAAATTTAATAAGACGAGATACAAACAAAATCAACCCCAAAATCATTTTCCTTGAGAAAAGTAAAGATAAATTTGGGATGGGCAAATAAGGAAGATTTGAAGATAAAAAGGGGACATATAAGTATTATTAAAGGGAAAAGGTGCAAATAGGCCCATGTACTAACCAAAAAAGGTCAAATAAGCCCTTATTTAGGAGGTTCTGTCCCGCCGTTGTCATTTGGGGTGGTTCCCGGTGGATTTTTTTGATGAAATGTTTTGAGCATCTTATTCATCAAGTCTAGTTTACTCATACCAAATTTCAGCTAAAACTTCAATCGGGAAGGCATTCAAATGAATTCTTGAAGATAACTGCGCTTCTAACTGCGCATTTATTTTCAAGAATTCATTTGAATGCCTTCCCGATTGAAGTTTTAGCTGAAATTTGGTATGAGTAAACTAGACTTGATGAATAAGATGCTAAAAAAATTTCATCAAAAAATTCCACCGGGAACCACCTCAAATGGCGATGACCGGACAGAGCCTCCTAAATAAGGGCTTATTTGACCTTTTTTGGTTAGTACATGGGTCTATTTGCACCTTTTCCCATTATTAAATAATCATAACATCCAATTTGTGCTTCAGTCTGCAGATAAATCACTGCTTGCATTTGCACTGAAGCCATAAGTGATAATCCTCATTTATTGAACTCTTGTAATCCAGAGTTGTAACAAGTGATATGTTTTGCACCTAAACACACTTCAAACAAACAGTTAAGTTGCTTGAAACTTGAAAGGAATACGTAGTATCAGACTATCAGTTATGCAGTTAAATATGCACCATAAGTAATCACCATTTTGTCCTTCTCTACATTTAGTTTGTGTTGAGCTCTGCTATTAGTGAAAAAACTGAGTTCGCACTTTCTTGCAATGGATCTCGGAGCTTTGTTTCATTGAATTAGAATTACTGGATGCTCCAATTCATTGACAAGTAGACCTATCACACATCGTTCATTGGACATGAGAGTTTATCCATCATAGCTTTCAATTATTTCATGATTTGGAGTCTGTATGGTGAGGGTGATTTGGATTATAAGGTTGAATCTCCTGAATTTTCTGAATGGAAAAGCATTTGGTAAAATCCATTTTTTCCAATTAAGTAGATCAAAAGTTACTTACTCTTGTTACAGTTTTGTGGTTACCAAACGAGCTTTACTGTCTTGTGGTTTCTAACAGTGGTAATAATCTTGTCTAGAGTTTTTGGTTTGATCAATAACATTGGAAGCTTCAAATTTTTTAAGGAATGGCTGGCCATGTGTGTTTAACCACGCCGCTTTTTATATTATAGGTCAGGGGGCTGAAGCATCAAGGTCGTATTATCAGGGTCAGAGGACAGATCCAAGGGCCCCGCTAGACAACCAAGGTGGAAAAGATCGTAGATCTCAGCCACTGGAAGAGAATATGAATATTGGATATGAAGATAATTCCATGCCGCCATCGTCTGTTGAGGGTCTTGAACAGAAGTTCATGAACGACATCAAGAAACTAAGCAAGGAACAATATGATGCTGAGGATGCTGAAAATGCGAGGCACAGGGAGGTTAGTTCGAACTTAACCCTGTCTTATATATCTTTAAGTGAATGTTTTACTCACTCACTCCCTCGGTCTCAATATTAACTCCTGGTTTACTTTTATACAGTTATAAATAATGGAAGACTGGTTCAAATTCGTTTGGAGTGAAATCATATCAAATATAGTATCATTTCCTTAAAAGGAAAGATGATAAAAATTTAGGGACGGACGAAAAAGTAAAGAATGAAATTTATTTTGGGATCTAGAGTATATGCTTTTGTTTTGAGTTATAGCTTTAACTGAATGGAAACAAATCTGGCAACTCTGAATTTCACTTTCAAGTTTCATTTTTGGTGTAAACTGATCTGATATGAAGTGGTTAGTTTGTTTACTTGCAGTACGGAATTATGTGTATTTAATTATCATATAGAGCTAGTCTAATCCGTTTAAGTATGTTTTGGTCTTGTTTAGACTCAAAAAATAAATGGCTTCAGTGTAGTTGAATAATAATTGAAACTGAACCTGGATTAACTGACTAATCATGTTCTTGACGATTATTTTCAGAGAATAAATGCCATCAATGCTCAGTTTGAAGAACAGCTAGTTGCCCTGAGAGCACGGCATGCCGGTCGAAGAGAGGACCTTCTCAGAAGAGAATCCCAGGCAAGGCATCTGCAGTACGAACAGGTTGGATTGGATAACTATCCAAACGCTAATACAGCTGGCCCTATGGACTCTCGTGGATATTCTTCAGTAGCCACAGGAGAGCGACAACGACCCTACAACAACAATAATAGTAACAATTATGATTCGTACAGAGATAGAAGTCGACTTTCTGCAAGTGGAAGGGATCATGGGTTCGAACCTAGTAGAGGCCACTACCCCGCTGGTGGCCGTGCTTACGAAACTGGTGGTTCCCGCTACTACTGATGTTTCAGCTGTGCCATAGTTTTACCCCGGTTTGCTGCTTATATAGAGTGGGTCTTTACCAAGTCTTGTATTTTCATGTAGTAGCTGGTCATTTAAGTAGTGTTTCCGATATTCAATTGTTCAGACTTCAGAGAACTTCAATTCCCCCACCCCACAGCCCCTTAGTTGCCGTCACTCACTCAGGGATCTAGGACAGGCAAGAGAACGTCTGTTACCTTTCTTTTTGTTTTTAATGTTCTGAGAACAACAAGCAGCACTATGATAGTTGGGATTTGGGAAAATAGGATTCAGTTCTAGTTATCGATTTGCAAAATTAAAACAGCTGGTATAAACATGTCCATTCTTAGTGCATTATGTCTATATTACGTAGGTAGTAGGAGATTTATCCGGTAATTATTGTCTGGATTAGGAATTACTTTCTAAATTATAATCTATTGTGAAAACTGTACTTGAATTGATGAAGTTTTGCTCTGTTTGGGTAAAGTGAACTTAAAGTAAACCTAGTGCAACAAAGTAAATATATGTTCTAATGAAAACTAAGCTAACCTAAGTGATTCTAGGTTCACGTATAAAATATTGTTTGGAAGTAAATAAGGTGAATTCAAGTTAATACAATAAATGTTGTTTGAATGAAAATATTCTAGTTCATTATGTTTTATATGAGAACTTAAAACCTAACCTTCCACTTAGGAGAAATGTTGTTTGGATGAAAATACTCTAGTTCATTATGTTTTATATGAGAACTTAAATCCTAAACCTTCCACTTAGGAGATTCTTCAATTTTAGGTTTTCTAGATTCTTGGGAGTTATGTGAGGTTAGCCCAAATTTATTACGATAGTAATAATCTAGGTTCTTGTTGTAAAAATACAAACAAATGAAGTTGATTTAAAATTGAGCTTTGAATAATCTAAGTTAACCCCAAACAAACATACTCGTAATCAAATCTGAATTAAGCAAGTTTGCTTAACAAAAGCGTTGAATGTGTGTCAGAAAATATAAAAGTACATTATTAAGGGGCATATGCTTGATTAAGAGAAAATGATTTTAGTTTTTTTTAATAGAGATATTTAAATATTTTCCCTAAATGCTTTAAATATTCCATTTGTGCTTCGATTTTTGTCTCATTTTACTTTTTGCATTTGTTTCATTAAAATTGTCTCATATCATATTTGGTATTATTTGTTCGGTTGTAAATCATTTTTATTTTATTCATACTTTATTATTAGTTTAATATCAATCACTTAACTTCATTTTTGTAAATAATAATCACATCATTTCCTCTCATCTCAATCATAAGGGGTGGAGGTTGCATTTGTTTGTTTAGAACTCAAACATCTAAAGTTATCTAGAAGTCACATTTGTACAAAAGTAAATAAACTTTTATTCAACCGGAAAAGTTCATTAGTTTTGTACGCGCATGAAGTAGCAAGTGCAGTTCTCATTTTTACACGTTAGACATTCTTTTGAGTCTAACCATTAAGAGCCCGTTTGGTAGCATGAAATTCGGCTGTTTTGGCTGTTTCTGCTGAAATTTATGAAGTTCTGGCTGAAGTGGCTGTTTTGGCTGATTATGCTGATTCTAGAAAAAAATATTTTAAAAATATATTTTATTAATAAAATAAAGAAAAAATTACATGTAAAAATAGCTAAAATGGTCATCTACAGTAACTTCAGCCAATACAGCCAGAAAAGTAACTCCAACCTTACTTTTTCTGCTTATTACACAATTCAGCACGCGAAAGTAAAAATTACGTGTTTGGTGAAAAAGATGGCTGATAAGCCTGATAAGCCGAAAAAAGAAGTCTCCAAACGGGCTCTAACTAATTTGGTATGATGGCGTAGAATTTTTCAGATTATGGGAAGATTTTTGCACAATTAATGTACTAGGGGCTCCATTCTTCAAGGTAATTAACATTCAGTAAGAGCGTTTCCTAAAATATTACTATTAAAAAATTATGAATAAAAATGTGACTATTAAAAAACTATGAATAAAAATGTGACTATACGTTATTATAAGTAAGTTATAATCATTAGAGTAACTTAAATTACTAGTCACATTTTTGTTCACTACTTTTATTTAGTTATATATTTGAAATTATTTCATTTAAAAAAGACTCACTCTATATACTATGTATGTTTTTTACCATTGTGCACAACCGAACTTAGATCATTTTATCATTGCACACCTAGTTAAATTGAGTTGCACAGTTGTCTTGTTTACTACTCCATTGTTCAAAGTAAGGAATATGAAGAAAAATAACATGTTATTTTATTTTTACCAATTCCTTAGACTTTTTATAACAGTAACAGATTGACCTACGCCTTATCAGTTTACTAGTGCCCTTTCCTTCGATTTTTTGGACAACACTCGTGTCCGCAGATCGCCCGCGCATGCAGTTCTGATATATCACATTTATTTGCTCCCTCTCCCACTATTGAATTTTAACCATTGTTCCAAAATTCACTCTAGCTAGGCACCAGATTAGTCCCCGCCTAGGCTCTAGGTGGTGCCGTAGTGATTGAACACTTTGATTTTGATCTAGACGCTCCGGTTAATTGATTTGGAGCCTAGGTGTATTAGTCGGCTGCCTAGGGCACCGATTGTTCCGCCCTGAGCGCTAAATCGGCCGTCTAGGCACCTAGATTCGTCGAACATTTTTTTAGTACTCTAAGATATATATATATATATATATATATATATATATATATATATATATATATATATATATATATATATATATATATATATATATATATATATATATAGAGAGAGAGAGAGAGAGACGAAGCCTTCGAAGGCGCGGAATACACATCTCTCAAGCTTTCATTTATTGAGATCGAAGCGACCCCGCCAGGTGGTTTAAGTTATCTTTGATATGGCAGAAACTGCATCTTCACCTACTCCTCGTTTTGCTCCCGATGATCCCTCTCTCCCTAAACCTTGGAGAGGCCTTGTTGATGGTAAGACTGGGTATCTTTACTATTGGAATCCTGAGACTAATGTTACTCAGTATGATAAGCCTGGTTATATAAGCTCTTCTGTTCAAAAGTCTTCCCAAGGGCCCCACAGAGACAGTGATGATGATAGATATAGCAGAGGTTACCGTGCCTCAAGTAAGGGCTCTGGTAGGGAGGACTCTAAGACAGAAAGAAACAACTCTGACCATTATCGCGGCGTTTCGGACACCACATTAGGTGCAAATGGTGCATCTGTTTATAAAGATAGGTCCTCAAGCGTGGGAAGAGAGTTATCTCCAGATTCTCATCGCCGTCGGCATGAAGTATCCGTAACTACAGAAAGAAACAACTCTGACCATTATCGTGGCATTTCAGACACCACATTAGGTGCAAATGGTGCATCTGTTTATAAAGATAGGTCCTCAAGTGTCGGAAGAGAGTTGTCTCCAGATTCTTATCGCCGTCGGCATGAAGTATCCGTAACTGGAGATTATGTGCCTCCACCATTCACCTCATTCAGCTCAACTGGGTTTCCATCAGAGATTTTGAGAGAGGTACATCAAGCCGGGTTTTCAACTCCTACACCGATACAGGCACAGTCATGGCCTATTGTTCTTCATGGCCGAGATATTGTAGCTATTGCGAAGACTGGCTCAGGAAAAACCTTGGGCTACTTGATTCCTGGCTTTATACATCTAAAAGAGCATCGTAAGAATCCTAGATTAGGTCCCACTGTCTTGGTTTTGTCACCAACAAGGGAGTTAGCAACACAGATACAAGACGAAGCTGTGAAGTTCAGTAAATCTTACCAGATATCTTGCACGTGCCTATATGGAGGCGCACCAAAGGGTCCACAATTGAGGGATATAGATAGAGGAGTAGATATTGTGGTTGCCACACCTGGACGGTTAAATGACATCCTGGAAATGCGAAGAATTAGCCTTCACCAAGTTTCCTACTTGGTGTTAGATGAAGCAGACCGTATGTTAGACATGGGCTTTGAACCTCAGATAAGGAAGATTGTGAAGGAGGTGCCTGCTCGCCGACAGACTATTATGTTCACTGCAACATGGCCAAAGGAGGTCCGCAAAATAGCTGCTGATCTGCTGCTCAATCCTGTCCAAGTCAACATTGGTAATGTTGATGAGCTCGTAGCAAACAAATCCATAACACAGTATGTTGAAGTGTTGTCACAAACGGAGAAGACTAGGAGGCTAGAACATATATTGAGATCGCAAGAACCCGGATCGAAAGTGATAATTTTTTGCTCAACAAAGAAGATGTGCAATGCGCTTTCTGGTAACCTTGCTCGCCAATTTGGGGCAGCAGCTATTCATGGTGACAAATCTCAGGGTGAGAGAGATTACGTGTTAAGTCAGTTTCGCACTGGTAGGACTCCAATTCTCGTGGCAACTGATGTTGCTGCTCGCGGCTTGGACATCAAAGATATCAGGGTCGTAATTAATTATGACTTCCCTACCGGAATAGAGGATTACGTGCACAGGATAGGAAGAACAGGACGGGCAGGTGCAACAGGTGTTGCTTACACATTTTTTACTGAGCAGGATGGAAAGCACACATCGGATCTCATTAAGGTCTTAGAAGGTGCTAACCAACGCGTTCCTGTTGAACTACGAGATATTGGTTCACGTAGTGGTGGGATGGGAAGGGGTAGGCGTCAATGGGGTTCTGGCCCCGCTGGGCGTGATGGAGGGCATATACGTTATGATTCTGGTAATGGTGCAAGGGGAACTTTGGCTATGTCCTCATCAAGTAGAGGCGGAGGCCGTGGAGTTGATCGCGATTCAAGCTACAGGCATGGCCGCACTCATGACAGCAATGGCTTTGGTAATTACCAAAATCCGCGGAGCCTAATAAATGGTGCACACAATTCAGACAGGCATGGCCGTAGCAGGAGTAGGAGCCCTGTTAGGGGGGCTGCTTCTGGGTGGGGTGGCAGTGACAGTAGGAGTAGGGCTCGCAGCCGGAGCATTGATAGGTTCAGCAGGTCTACTACTCGTGATGTTGGACGGAATTTCCGCGAGGCAGCCCCTGTCACAACACGAGCAGGAGCATCCTTGGTGCCTTCTGCAAAGCAGAGACCGCCACCAACTTACGATTATGGACCTAGGGAGAGTAACAGAAGATCATATGACTACAACAGCAACCAAAAGCATTGGGAAAGATCTTCTCCTGCACCCAAGGAGCAGCGTAGCGGGAAGTATGAATCTCAAAATAGTGGGGATGAAGAGGAAGGCATCTTTCACCCTCCTAAGGAAAAGAGCAATTACTAAGAACCCACTGAATAGTGAAGGAGGGAACTGACAAACTGTTGCGTTATGCTCTTTCCTTTGCTACTGTTTCACTTGGATGTTGTAGTTTATTTTGGCAGTAGGAGACTGGCTAGGTAGAGGTGTAAAAGGACATTGGGAATGCTGCTTGCAATGTTTAGTGTAATAGGGGACAATATGTGGACTTATAGATTGATCAAGTGTATTGTAAGACTACTGATATAGAGACGTATTATTGACACAAAAAAAAAAAAAAAAAAAAATATATATAGAGAGAGAGAGAGAGCTGTTCCTGTACATATGGATGTACGGGAGGCTCCGTACGGACAAAGCCATCAGAGGTCCTTCCCGGTGGAATTTTTTGATGAATTTGTTTTAGCATGTTCTTCATCAAGTGTAGTTTATTCATACCAAATTTCAGCTCAAAATTCAATCGGGAAGACAATCAAACAAATTCTTGAAATATACTGCACATTATATGGGTGCGCAAAATGCTCCATACATTTCAAGAATTTATTTGACTGCCTTCCCGGTTGAATTTTGAGCTGAAATTTGGTATGGATAAACTAGACTCGATGAAGAACATGCTCAAAAAATTTCATCAAAAAATTCCACCGGAAAGGGCATCTGATGGCTTTGTCCGTACGGAGCCTCCCGTACATCCATATGTACATGATCATTCCTCTATATATATATATATATATATATATATATATATATATATATATATATATAGAGTAGTCTTCCGGTCAGGTATACCTGACCGGAGCCCCGTCCGGCCTCCTCCATTTGGGGGCCTTCCCGGTGGTATTTTTTGCTCAAATTTTTTGTGTAGGTTCCTCATCAAGTCTAGTTCATCCATACCAAATTTCAGCCAAAAATTCAATCGGGAAGGTCGTCAAATGATTTTTGCAAGTTAACTGGTCCGGAAAATACATATTCCGGACCAGTTAACTTGCAAAAATCATTTGACAACCTTCCCGATTGAATTTTTTTCTGAAATTTGGTATGGATGAACTAGACTTGATGAGGAACCTACACAAAAAATTTGAGCAAAAAATACCATCGGTAAGGCCCCCAAATGGAGGAGGCCGGACGGAGGGAGTGGTCCGGCCTGGCCGGACCTGAACTTTAGTGTATATATATATATATATATATATATATATATATATATATATATATATATATATATATATATGTACATTTAACTTTAACAACACATATAGAGAAAACTACTAGTTTTGTAGATTAATCTTAAGTGTTACTCCATATTATTATTCAATAATATTTATTACATAATGAAGTTAAGTGATTTATATATTATTAAATCTGATAACTCAGCTCTATCATTCATGCATGTTAATGTGTACGAGTGTCAGTGTGTGTATGTGTGGTATTTTTATGCACACAAACACAACATTACTAAGCATGTTTATGCAAAGATATTGATAAAACCGTAATCTCAATGTCTCCGGCTAGTTCTCACCAAGCTGCCTAGGCGCAGGGCTGGCGCCCGACTAGCGCCTAGCGCCTTTTAGAACATTGATTTTAGCAATATAATGACGAGTGTCACTTTTATGGGCTTCCAGAAAGTAAAATAAACTATAAAAAAAGGATGACATCCCATCCCTGAGGGCCCTCCAACACCGACCAGACCACACAATGGGAGGATGTAAATTGGACTATAATCACAATCTGACAGATAGAGAGTGAGACTCTGTCCCCGGTACTTGCAGAAGCCCTATGCATTTTTCAGCGCATAATAACCCCTCATCGCAGTTGCCGAGATTTGAATCTGAGACCTAACCCTTGTGGCACTCCCTCGCTACCAGTTGTGGCACTCATTCGAACCCTACATCGAAGTTAAGATGTAGGTGGATTTAACTAATTGGCTTTCTTCATCCAATGTAGATAACGACAAATTTGAAATTGTGCTATAAACGATGCATTTTCCAAAACAAGAGAAGAACTTTTAGCCTAGAAAAACTACGGAGTAAAATCTTTTAAGGGTCTGTTTGCAACAGCTTCTGCTTTTAAAAAAGTGCTTTTTTTAATGAAATGAGGAAAAGTGATTAAATAAAAGTTGATAGTGTTTGAGAAAAAAGTAATTTTGAAAAGTAAAAGTGGGTAGTGTTTGGTAAAATAAGTGCTTTTTGTGTAATAGAAAAAGTAAAAGCACTTTTGACGCGGAAGCCGAGAAAAATAAAAGTTGTAGTGTTTGAGAAAATAAGTGCTTTTTTAAAGCCAAAAGCTGAAAAGTGCTTTTTTAAAAGCAGTTGCAAACCAACCCTAAATAGGTTTCTCTACTTTAATTAAATGTTTAAAGCCAAAAGCTAGAGGAATGGGTAACCACCATGAAAGATGTTTTTTGTGACAAATGAAAATTTGGATTTCTTTACGACTAATGATATTTTTATTTGGACTTATTTCAATCCAAGACCAGACCAGAACATATCAGATCAGATCAGACTTACACAGATGAGAACAGACCACATACTTTAACAAACAAGACTAGACTTCTCCAGTTATAAAATACATAGAGACCAGATAACTGCAAGACTATACCGAATTAGATTTTAAACAGACCAAACCAAAACAGATGAGACTGTAAAGTTCTAGTCCAAGTAAAAACATCTGAAGGCTGCAGATGCACGCTAGCTCATTCTTTTTAGAAATAATTGTTATATCACTCATCCGTCCTTTAAAACTTTGTCAACTTTCCTTTTTCGGATGTCTTTCTAACTTTGTCACTTTCCATTTTAAGTAAATAATATGTGGTTCCAGTTAATTCTCCTCTGCACAAACCTCAATCATACAGTTTTTACTTTACTAATTCCCGTGCCGGTCAAACTTGACAATGCTTTAAGGGACGAAGCTAGTATGTCACTAATAGAAATGAAAACAGAGATAACTCACAAATAAGGATAACATAAAAGTAAAGAAAACAATTAAACATTTACTACAATTTAATAAAAAAAAATGGGAAGTATGAAAGCTAGTAACTCTAATAGATAGCTTAATTTTTAATGTTTCATAAAAAAGTGTTCACAAATAATAATAAAGATAACATATAAGTATATTTGATTGATATAGTGCCAAGATTTAAATGATTAATATTCACATACATATGTTAGATTACATTTACAATTCTGGATGGTGTCGCGGTTATTGGAGTCATTGAGATGTAATAGTATGATGTAGTATGTAACCTAAACCCATTCAATTAAAAATTAAGAGATTTGTTTCTATGGACCGTGCATGCTATTGCGGTTGACTGTTTGACACATAAAATTTCACACATTAATAGATGTTGGTGTCGGTAAATTAAATGCATGTTTGATAAGTTGATATTGAGTAAGGCTATGTTTGGAACAACGAGGTGTAGCTGGAGGCTAATGTCTAAATTATAGACAATTGTAGGAACCAAATACTATTTTCTGGAACTGAATTTTGAAATGCTGAATCCGCAATGCTAGTCGAATAAACAAGACTCGTTTGGCAAAAAGAGGTGAAACTGTTTGGGTAAAATGAAATTACATTAAAGGACATATAGTATATTAGTATAACAAAACAATAATTATAATGTTTGTTATATTTTAATGAAAATAAAAAAATTGTAGTATATCTATTTATATATTTATTGGGTATTAGGTCCTAGACTAGGTACAGACCCAAATATTCCTAGAAGATCGAGGGTTCCACGGAGTCCATCAATCAGGAAGGCCAGTTCAGGAAGGATCACACGGTCTATGCAGCACGGCCACGGGTGTACGACCCAATCATCATACTTGGTCCATTTCTCCATCGTGGGAGGCTGGCCATGGCGGAACATCCCTAGGAAATTGGCGAGAAACCTCATATTTGGTGGGAAACACATTAATGCAAGAGATATGGAGGATTTTATGATTGAGAGAGTATCCACTCAGGGTCGACCACGTCATCCTCTTTAGGGTCGGCCACAACCAGGCTTGCCCTGAACAGTAGACTTCGAGCATGGGCGAGATTCTGGCGAGGTCGGGCTTACCCTAGGACTTACGTGGCAAGTTATCCATGGCGCACAGCTATGTTGCAGTGGCAGGAATCCAACGGAAGAGACATGGATCCGGAGGAGTGATAATTGCGGAATAATTGGAGACATTACAAGAGTTTTATCATGATTAAATGTATCAAGTGTATCGATTTTGTCTCGTTGGGCCACTGTAGCTCTATGTCTGTGAGTACTCTATGTACGTACCTAAAGGGGATCCACCTATTAAATAATAAATTATCTTACGTTGCTTAAATGCATCTGCTCTCGAATATTAGCTCTCGTAGTTGGAATTAAACCCCATCAAACGATACTTTTCAAACTTGACAATAATTACTCATATTTAGAGAATAAAAACATGACAGTACAATTTTGGAATTCGAAAATGTTTTTACTTCTATTTCAGATATTTTCCCTTTATAATATCACTTCTGTGTTGTATCATACTCCGTATGAACTACAACAAAGGAAAATGTTCAAGTATGGTAGGCCGGCCTAAGAATTGAAATTCTTGGCCTCTTTCATATGAAGTGATTCCGATCGAATTTTTTGATGAAATTTTGTGAGCATGTTTTTCATGAGGTATAGACTATGTCCACCAGATTTCAGAATAAAATTCAATCGGAAAGTTGGTTAAATATTTTGTTTTTCAAAATTGCGCAAGTTTATATATATATAAAATGCATTTTTTCAATAATTATTTATTTAACTGACTTCCCGATTGAGTTTTATTGTGAAACTTTGTGGACATAATCTACAATTATTTGAGAACCTGTTTACAAAATTTCATCAAAAAATTTGACCCGAAAGCACCTCAATATCATGGAATGAGTCCACCATTTGGTTGGGATTTACTAATAATCTACCGTTGTAGTTGGAAATATGGTCAATCGTTGTGGCCTGGGGGTATACTGAATGGACTGCGTTTTAGGTAATGGCAAAGATACATCTAAAATAAAATGATACTCAATTTGGTAAAAAAATGAAAATCGATTAATTATGTGGAACTAAATTGATACGTATGTAGTACGTAGTATAACTCAAGAGTTAACTACTCTTTTTTGTGTTAGCTGTTCTTATTCCCGTCCTCAAATTATACTACCCCGTTCTCTTTTAATTGCCACGTAAAGCTTTTTTCACTATTCACAGATTCTACTTTGATTACATTTTATTTATTAATGTATTTCAAATTAAATTTTCAAAAAATATTTTTAAATTCTTCTCATAATAAATTTTCAAAATATGTTTTTCTAATCTTTTTACTAATAATGAATGGAAGATATTAACGGTCAAACTTGTCTGTTGGCAAACGTGAAAAGTGGACTGTTGCAATTAAAAAAGAACAAAGGAAGTATTTATACTCCGTATTAAAGATAAATTATACAATCGCAAATTATCAAAGAGAAAAAATAAATAATACTGTAAATAATATAGATATTATGATTGTGTCGATTTGAAAAACGAAGCACCATGGATGTTGTAACGAAAAAACGAATTATTAACTAAGAACATAAAACCCAGTAAAAATATAACTTAAGCTAATTTAGAGATATTACCTGAAATATGACTAAAAATGTTTGAAAATTTCAAAATGGGACTGTCATGTTTGTATTCCCAAAACAGGACTAATTACTGTCATGTTTTGGCAGTACCAGACTTCAAACATGATATTATTTTCCAAGCTTGACAGTAATTACTCTTATTTTGAGAATAAAAAACATGACAGTCCTATTTTTGAATTTTCAAACTGTTTTAGTCATATTTCGGGAACTTTCCCTTTAAGAGCATCTTCAATGCTAAAACGTTAACAGTGCATACGTGGCATGCGAGATAGCCAATCAAAAAAACAATAAATAAAATATCTCTCTCCTTATTTGAAGGATCTTATATCATTTTGGTAAGTTATTCTTCACAATGTCAAACACAACGTCTACATGTAGACATTGTAGTTGACATTGCAGAGAAAAACTTACCATAAACACATAAGGCCGTGGAAAGACGGAGAGAGAAATGTCATAAAATCAATCTTTTGTGTCTATTTCTCTCATGCCACATGTGCACCGTGCACATTGTAGCATTGTAGATGTTCTAAATTTCATTTAAAACTCATATCATGAAAGAGGACAAACAAATTGGCGGAGGTATTTAATTATGGAAATGTATTTATAGCTTATGCATTTACTCCGTATATTTTACAGAAATAACCATAGAACAAAGCACTTTTATTGGTATGCAATTTGTTGTCAAAAAAAAAAAAAAATTGGTATGCAATTTCTTTTCTATCTTGTTAAGAAAAGAGCTCCACTTGTTTCTCTGCAAATCCGCCTCTCTCTCTTCTCTCTCTGGGCACCAAAGTGGTCTGCAATTTTCTGGCTTTCAAATCTCTTTCGCCATTTCCGGTCTACAGTTTTCTTCCGTTTTCTCTCTCTCTCTCTACTACTCGGATCTTCTTCCATCTGTATCTCGGAAATGGATAATCCATCCGAGGATTCCTCGGAACAACCAAATCAACCAAAAACAGAATCAAATGGGAATGATGACCAGCAAGTCTACTTCGTTCCCTACAGGTTCCTCATTTCTATTTGCTTTCCTATTCAGCTTCAGCATTCTAATAGCACTTCACTAATAGAAAAATCACAATAGATGATGAATGAATGTAAGGTGTGATGAATATGAAACTGGAGAAATTGACAAGGGTGATCTCATATTTTTATTTTAGTTTTTTTTTAAATTTATATTCGTTCCTTGTATGGTTTGGGATGCTTCTTCTACCTATCGCTTGATTTTGAATTGATTTTTTTATTTATTTATAAATTTTAGTAGTTTACGGAGTAATTGAATCGTGGCTTGGCTAGGGATACATATTTAATTGTTTATGTGTGCGCGCCTCCGTGAATTTGGAATTTCTTACATTGCAATTTGATAGGGTTCTGGATTACACTTATTCCTTACACACACTTGCTCAGATTTCTAATGACGTTTTTTGAAGAAGTATAAACAATAGAATACATTGTGCGTGCTTAGGATGTGTTTTTTGCGCTCTGTTCCATTGTATTTGATGGCATCTATTGTGCATTGAGTTTGGTTTTCTTCATGGAGTTCACATACACTAAGATGCCTTCAGCTTGACACTCTTGTGCATTGTAGGTGGTGGAAGGAGGCACAAGACTCAACATTAACTGATGGGAAAAAGGGGACTTTATACACAGCGGCACCTGCTCCGTCTTATGGGGGGCCGATGAAGTTAATTAACAATATTTTCAATTCAGATGTTTCTTTTAATTTAAAGAGAGGGGACGATTCTTCATCCCAAACCTGTGACAATGGAGAAGTTGGGATATCCGGCCGTGATTATGCCTTGGTCCCTGGTGACATGTGGATTCAGGCGCTCAAGTGGTTGGTATCTTAAGTTGCCTGTTTTTAAACCTTTGAAATGGATCTATTGTCATCATATTTCTTCTTTATGCATTGGAATCTTTCTGCTGTTGCTAGATTGATTTTGCATCCTATGTCCACCGTACTTGAGTTACCTTGGTTATCAACTCATATCGTTTCTTCTGTCTCAACAAACACTTTTCAGTCATCTCTCCTCCTGTTCCTAACCTGGAATCAGGCCCATAGTGTTGTTTGGAAACTCAAACCATTACTCCTAAGATCCCAATAACTGAATAGGAAGTAAGGAGGTTGACACAACCTCTAAAATAATTCATGATTCTTTCTTTAAAGGAGCATATATGTTTCCTACCGAAAACTAGTCATCCAGATCTCTTACATAATAGTCTTGGGAAGTTGTGATTTTGTCACTGTAATTGGGAACTTAGTAACTTACTCAACACTTGCAGTTAAGTTTTATTTGCTGAACCACACTCTCACAAGTTATATTTGATAGTGTAATTAATTATCTGCTTTTGAAATAGTTTTTTAACCTATTTCTCAAGTGGCTAGAAATTTAATCAAAACTGCTAAATTTTCAATATTTAGAAAAGTCGTAATTCTAAAATTGGCTCCAAGGATTGTCTCTTTGTAGAAATTAGGCCATGTATATTCTATTTCAATTTTTTTGGCTGGTAAGAGTTTTTTGTTATTGTCGGAGATAGCTGCACTTGCAAGTTTTGAGGTACTTATTTAATTATGTTATACTAAATCGCTATATTTTTTGGCCACTATGCCATACCATTCTGATCTGTATGTAGGCACAGTGACTCTAAAACTTCAGAAAAGAACGGCAAATGTTTTTCAGCCACAGATGATATGACAGATGTGTGTCCCTTACTGTTGAGACTTGCTTGTTTGCAAGATGGCAGCTCATTGGGAGTTAAGATAAGCAAAAAGGTCGCCACTAACTTTTGTGCATTTACTCAATTAACGGCTCCAATGAGTAATGCACTTGTATAGAGTTGGAGTCTACAAATGATATAATCTATCCATATGCTTCTTTCTTGTCTCATCTCAGTTCTCTGATGTACTTCTAATAAATTTCTTTAGATACATAACATTGCTTCCTAGTAAAGCTGTATATGAGTTTATAATGAATAATGAATTGTTTGATCATTATTGGAAAACCAGCCACATATAGATCAGAAAACTACTTGGTTACACCATATATTTATTTCCAACATAAATTATAATAGGTTCCACAATGCCCCCGCCCCCCCTTTTGTCTTAGAATTTATTCATCTCCGTGATATTAAAAGAACGCATTGAGTTTTGCTTCTCATAGCTTGTTTGACATTTATAACTTACATGCTCTACTTCATCTAGCATTTAAATTGGTACTCATGCTAGTTAGAATCAAGTCAATCAACCCAAATGAAAAAGGATATGCACAAAAAGAATCTTGAACCTTTTAGTTGACATCAGTATTCCATTGGAAGTTTCAAAAATAAGACACATACATGATATATTTATATACTTATTGTAATGATAGTGATTTTTAAAATACAACATATGAACTAATATGCTCCATGTGTGCATCATAAATTAATTGGACTTGATAATGCAGTTCGCAAAGGGGAGCTTTGGCACACCGATTATGGTGTTGCTGTGTGATTGAGAGGCCACGGGTTCAAGTTTTGGGAGTGGCCTCTTGTCACAATGACAAGGGAAGGCTAGCTCCTTATACACCCTTGTGGTGGGACCCTTCCTGAACCCTCTCCTTGAGGGGGCACTGATGTGCACCGGGCTGCCCTTTTTAATGCAGCTGGCATACCTTAAATTAGTTGACATGCACCTCTCTATCATATGATCTACTTTTACAACTTCCTTACTTAAATGGCTTTCTTTCTATATTTTCATTTTTCATTTCATTTTTAGGACAATGCAGCCGAGTCTTATAAAAGAGCCTGTAAAATTTTTGTCTTTGAGACAGATCCAGTAAGTGAACTTATGAGTTTCTATTTCTTGACAGCATCTCCTAGTTTTTATTTTGATGAGGGTCTTCTTCCTTATCAGATGCGGATATGGGACTTTTCCGGGCAGACTGCTTTGTTTTTCACAAATGGCAAATACCCAAAGGACTCACCAAGACTGTTGGAGCAAGATGTGTGTGGTTATTTTCGTGCAATTTTCAGAACTGCTCATTAGTGTGCTTATATGTTGTTGATCTTTAATTCCTGAATGCAAGAAACTGCACTGTCATTCCTAAATCTTTTTCACTTAACTGTATGTGCTTAGGTATTTCCTTTGTTAATTAATAAATATTTATGAAGAGCCCTACATCATTCGTGTACATTAGGTCTATTCCTTTTTAGATTTTCATGTCACCTACAATGGTCTTCTTTTTAGATTCTTTCTTTTTACATTTCTATTTCTCCATTGAGTGGCTTTATATCTTGATTGTGGCTAGATCTAAGAACATAGATGTGCTTTATCCCTAAACTAACTTTTATGTGATGCTCTTTTGGGTTTGATGAGGGAGCTAATTCAGTTCCTTGAGTGTGATGTTTTCTATTTTACTCTTGTTATAATATTCAGTATATAATATAGGTGTGTGTCTTATGTTTTAATATTTGTATCTTAGCAGATGCTCCTAGAGTTGCAAGTCTATGGCTTATCTGACTCTGTCAGAATCCGAACTAAGAAAAATGAAATGGGTACACAGTATTCTAGCGGAACTTCATATCTGATGAATGGTAGTACCAGCAGTTTCACATCTAGTCTCATACGAAGCCCATGCGAAACTGGAATATTGGGCTTGACTGGATTGCAAAACCTAGGGAACACCTGTTTCATGAACAGTGCTCTCCAATGCCTTGCACACACACCAAAGCTTGTTGATTACTTTCTTGGTGATTATAAAGCAGAAATAAATTTCGACAACCCATTGGGTATGAATGTATGTGGCAACCTGTTTTATTCAATGCCTTGTTTTTTAAAATGTATCATGATCTGCTGTCTTTCTTTGCACCAACACAATTGTTAATTCCCCCCTCATATAATATAAACCATCTGCATCAGCAATTTTTAATCGCTTTGCAATGTTCAACTCTAATGATCACTATACAGGGTGAGATTGCATCAGCATTTGGAGATCTTCTGAAGCAATTATGGGCTCCTGGAGCAACTCCTGTGTCACCAAGAACATTCAAACTAAAACTTTCTCATTTCGCTCCTCAGTTTAGTGGTTTTAGCCAACACGATTCTCAGGTTAGTGTTAGACATTGTTTAGTTTTCATGCACGTATGTTATACCCCAATGCCTGCATGTATGTGGAGAATTGTAACTAAGTATTTATCATACATGTAGAGGTCTAGAGGATAAGACTATTATTTGTCTCCACAGGAGCTCCTTGCTTTCCTGTTGGATGGACTTCATGAAGATTTGAACCGTGTGAAGTGCAAACCATATGTTGAAGCTAAAGATGGAGATGGTCGTCCAGATGAAGAAGTAGCTGATGAATATTGGAAGAATCACCGGGCTCGTAATGATTCCATAATTGTTGATGTATGCCAGGTGAGAACTGAGTACATGCAAACTGGTTTCTTTGTATTTTTTTGCTGGGTTAATGCTTCAGGCCTTAGAAGTACCAGAATATGTAATTTCATGCAAAACTGTTCATTGCCAACTTAAGGGAGTGTGAATCCAAAAAGTGTTTTCAAAATATCATGAATATTTCTGCAGGGTCAATATCGCTCGAAATTAGTCTGTCCTGATTGCTCTAAGGTCTCCATCACTTTTGATCCATTCATGTATTTATCACTCCCTCTACCATCAACCTCAATGCGGTCCATGACTATATCCATTATGAAAGGTGATGGCGATATCCATCCATCTGTGGTTACAGTTAATGTCCCCAAGGATGGGAAATATTCTGACCTTATTCACAGTTTGAGCACTGCATGCTCCTTAGGGGCTGACGAGACATTTTTGGTAGCTGAGGTATTGTACTATGCCATTCATGTCACATATATTCACCTTCTTGAGTTTTTTTTCTTGTTTTGATTTTCATAGTTTATGTTATTTCAAAGTCTTAGAGTTTCTAGTATCAACAGGTTTACAACAGTCGTATTTTGCGCTTTCTTGGGGAGTCATCATCTGATTCATTATCCTTAATCAGAGATGGTGATCGGCTTGTTGCTTATCGTATGCTGAAGAGCAGCGGAGAAGCCCCCTTGGTTGTGTTTACTCATCAACAGACTGAGGAGTAAGCACTAACTTGCCTCATGATACACATTTTTTTTGTATAGCAGTATGTCTCTGTATGTTTGTATTCATGTTTGTGCTTTGTCCTGGTTAGTTCTTTGATCATATTTCAATAAAATTGAGTTCTGCTATTTTGTTCTTATCCAGGAAGGTAAATTTCTTTTTCTAGTGTCTTCTAGTTGGTGTGTTCTAAAATATTTGACCAAACCACATTAGAAGATATGGGGTTCTTATGTTGGAGTCTTTGATTAGGCTCTGATTTGGTTGGTTAATTGGTTTATGAATAAATTTTGCTCTCTCTGGGTACACTTTCTAAATTCAAAGATGTCTGCAAATAGATACTCTTTGTATTGGTGAGCCAAAGCTGCCTCAGGACGTTAATACTCTTCATGAGATGTATAAGGGTTATAAATATGCAGAAAAGTTAAACAAGGCAAAAGTTCCCTAAAAAGTTGAAAAGAAACTATGAAGATACGAGTCCTCGGTGAGAGGACCTCAGTGAGGTGGGATAAATGAGTTGTCAGAATTCAGAAATAAGGTTAGGTAACCGTTTGAGTGACTTATTCTATCGGATACTACTCGTTCATGCTTTACTCCTCTCTAACAGTGAAGAGTAGTAGTGAATAATAGTGAGAGAAGAGGCATAGGAAAAATGGAATGGCGGTTCGTTCATGCTTTACTCCTCTCCAACAGTGAAGAGTAGTAGTGAATAATAGTGAAAGAAGAGGCATAAGAAAAATGGAATGGCGGTACGTTCCAAGGCGATACCTCCCCCTATAGATCAACGGAGAAGTGCAGGACAGGCCCCTGTTAAGGAAAAAACATCCTTCTGTTAGTGACTTGGCTTAAGTTCTCTAAGGCTTGCCAGATAGATCGCGCCTCTCTCGAAGCCACCTTTTTATCCCAAAGAAAAAGAGTGTCTAGCAGTCTTAAGAATCAATCAAACCAAAAATAAGTTTTTGGACTATTCCCTGACAGGGTAAATGTCCTTAGATACCAACATCTCTGCTCATCTACAAGGAAACATGTGTGCTTATATTAACATTCAGATAACCTTATTGTTCTTCTAGCTTACGGGAGCCTTTTTCATGGGTTCATATAGACCTGCTTTTCTGTTTCACCTTTCCATCTTTCACACTGCTCACCTCTTGGTTCTATTTTTATGGAACATGAAGGAGCATGATGACTTAGTGGCATAATGCGCTAAGTTGAGATCGGAAAATACCACGAGCTAACAACCAACAAATAAATTAGGGAGATTTCCCAAAATAGGAGTAAATAAGGTTTGTAATTCCAAAATAGGACTGCTATGTTTTTCTTCTTGAATAGGAGTGACATGGCAGTATCTACTGCCATCTTCTAGTCATTACTGCCAAATAGTTTCAGACTTGCAGTACAAGATATTCAACATGGCAGTATTTTTCAATGACAGTGTTTTTCAATCATTGCACTAACGACTCGTATTTCGGGAAGAAAACCATAGCAGTCCTATTTTGGAATTTTAAAACTTATATAGTCTTATTTAGGGCAATTCCCCAAATAATTTAGGTCATAAAGAGAAGTTACTAATTGCTAGCATGTAGAGAAAAAGAACCTTTTGAGATTTTGATGTTGCTTCTTCCTCAGACTTAGTGTCAAGCTTGAAGGGTGATATCTTTCTAAATGTTTTGAATTTTATAGTTTATTCCAGTACATGCAAATATCTTTCTTTTCTTTTTTATCTTTCTTTTCTTTTTATATTCTTTTCTTTTTATCTTTCTTTTCTTTTTTGCTCTGATATCATTGATCGATTCATGTTAGCTGACCCAAATCTTTTGGGAATAAGGCTTGTATGTTGTTGTATTCCAGTACATGCAATCTTGGAAAACAGACCTATTTTTCAGCTAGATATAAGTTCCTATTGATGTATATGCCATTATGTGTAAACTCATGCTTGTATATGCTATGTGCTTCATTATATACTCCTTGTTATGGGGAATCTATGCGAATCATTTTAGACTTATAAGGTTGAAGTCTTTCGTATATGATATTGACTTGGTAAATTAATTTTCTTTGTATTGCTCAGACATTATTATTCTGGTAAGCGCACATCAAGTTGGAAGCCATTTGGTATTCCATTTGTTGCAACTTGTAATGTTGAAAACGGATTCGACCTCCGCAGCCTGTACCTAAAATTACTTCTTCCTAACAAAGCTGTCAATGAAGATGTTGCTGGGAAAAGTGATACAGTTGAAATTGGTTCTGCTGAAGTAATTACTGAAATGGAAGTCAGCAGTCCGCCTAGAGTAGTAGGTTTTTCAGATAATTCTGATGATGAATCTGTTGATGCAAACCTGGACAGCGATTTTATGTTTCATTTAACTGATGATAGAGCAATGATCAGCAAGTCTGTGCTTGTGATGGACGAGCCCCTAACTTTCACAGAGTTGCCTCGACGGGTTAATGTGCTGGTGCGGTGGCCAGATAAAATGCTTGACCGGTACAATACAGGTGCTTTTGACTCATTACCAGAAATATTCAAGCCCACTTTTTTCACAAGAAGACCACAAGAGTCTATCTCTCTCTATAAATGCCTTGAGGCATTTTTGAAGGAAGAGCCTCTAGGGCCAGAAGACATGTGGTAAGCATCTATGTTTTTAACTTTTGCAATTTTTCTTTCAAGTAATTCCATAGCATGTTACAACTAGTGTTATTGCACTTGAAATGATAGATATATTCTTGAAATGATTTTTTTAATCTATTATTACCTATTTTTTGCAATGGAGCCAAAGATTCCTTATTTTTTGGCTTGAGAATATGATGGAATAAAGCAAAATGGCTCACTAAACTGTCTGTGCTTCTTTGTTATTAAGCAGCAGTTAGTCCATGCAATTTTGGACGCGATTTTCACTACGGGTCATCCGGAAACAATCTTTCTGTGCTTTAGTACAGGGGTAAGACTGCGTACATCCGACCCCCCTTACCCCACCGTAGGTGGGAGCCTTTGCGGCACTGGGGTAAATGAAAATGATGATGAAAATGATGATTATTACCTATTTTAGGGTACGTTACCTATTTTATCAGTCTTGCAATGTAAATCAGATAGATCAATCGATATCCCATTGCACTAGATTTGACCATTAAACCATCATGGTAGTTGAGTAATAACAATATTGATGGTACAGATGTTCACCATAATGACAAGTCTTTCCTAGTTTGTATAACTGCATTCATTTACACGCTTATTACTGGCTTATACAGACGTTCTGACTTCTGATATTATCTCCACATTGTAACTTGTAAGACATTTCTGTTATTCAGTTGAAATATTCTACAAAATCTTCTTACTATGTTTTATGTTTTTATTGCATAAGGTATTGTCCTGTGTGCAAAGAGCACCGCCAAGCTTCTAAGAAGTTGGACCTTTGGAGGTTACCAGAGATTCTGGTCATTCATTTGAAGAGATTCTCGTTTAACCGTTTTCTCAAGAATAAGTTAGAGACATTTGTTGATTTCCCCATCCATGATCTTGAATTGTCTTCATATATTGCCAACAAGGGGGGGCACTCTTCTTTTCGCTATATGCTTTATGCAATTAGCAATCATTATGGAAGCATGGGAGGTGGACACTACACTGCATTTGTTCGTGTAAGCTATTACTTTGTATTAACTTGGAATGCAATAGTTATTATAATGTAGACCACTTCTCCACACAGCTGGAAGGGTTATATGAATTTTCCAACATAATCATAGGTTGGTAATAAATGGATAAGGCCAATACTGAACTCAGTTACACCTTCTGAATAATGTTGGTAATTTTGTTTTGTTTTTTTTCATTTATTTATGTTGACACAAGCAATCTAACTCAATGTTTTTCACAATTTAGATAAAGGATGTTTTTACTTGGACCAAAATTTTGGTCTGGTCTGGTCTATGTGTATTTTATAATTGCAGAATTCTGGTCTGGCCTTTTAAAGTCTGTTATGATTTGGTCAGGGATTGAAATAACTTCGAGTACAAACATCCAAAAATCCTGATGAAAGAGGGAATGTTGTAGAAGGAGATGATGAAGTGTGGGATGAAATGAATAGGAATATTTTGATTGAATACGAAGAAATGGTCATTGAAAATATAAAATGAAAAAAAGAATGAAGTTTATACTAATGAAAGATATGTTATTGAAAAGATGTAAGGTAAAACAAGAAAGAAAAGGTGCATGTTTAAATTAGCTTTTCTTTTCATATCGGAGTGAGTACCTCTTATCTTTATGTAGTACTACATTTATTTTTTATTTTTTATTTTTTGCATCTACCAACTACCAAACAGAGTTATCATCTAGCTAGAAATGGCTTTGAAACATACACTAACATTTCATTTCTAGTGGCCTTAGATAATGATATTAATGTTTGACTTTCGTTTTTTCTGTAGCAAGGGGGTGATCAATGGTATGACTTTGACGACAGCTATGTCTCACCCATCAATGCGGACAAGATAAAAACATCAGCTGCTTATGTTCTTTTCTATAGAAGAGTACAAGAAAAAGCCATTTAGAAGGGGATGATGAACAAAACTATTTATACACTGGGTGGTAGGGTCTTGAAGAGAAGAATCCACATTACTGCTGTTGCTGTTGTTTCGTGGCACATAACTAGCAATTTTGGGGCCATTACATAATTTTCACTTTTTAGGATGCTGATTAAGGATAACTTAAAAGGGCTGATTAGGGAAATATTATTAATCAAGGGCAGCGTAAAGGAGGTTCACATAAAACGCCAGCGTCTTACATATATACCATTTTTATTTATTTATAGAAGGCACAAGTTTTGCTTCATTACCAGCTAACAGAATAGAGGAGGTAGTTTGAAATAGATTGGTCAATGCAGCTGTAAAATAGTATTATCTGAAATAATTTATAGTAATTTCATTTTAATTATTATATTTCTCTTAAATTTTAGGCTTTTCCTTCTCATTATAGTCTCCACAGAGTGCATGTTTGAAGTGTTCCTTTGAAGCCGTGGTGACTGTTTTTGTACATTGCCTTCATATTGTTTTGCACGATTGTCTAGTGTAAACTTGACTAATTACCAAGTAAAAATTTCATTTTGTTGAAGCCAACTAGTTGGGGTTAACGTGAACATGTGAATGTTTTTATTTTATTTTATTTGTACTCAATGTTTGTCATTAACCACACAAATTTTTCTTAAAAAGAAATGAGGAAAATTTTGTGACTCATAAAATGTAAAGTGTCAAGTGCCTTGTGATTCGGTGTCATTGTAAAGTTGTAATAATTTCAGAGAGGTGGCCACATATTCAAAAGTCGAAACTAGACTTGGACCCGGTTCGGGCCGCCTGGCCCGGGACCGGCCCGGCCCGCCACTGTGCGGGCCCGGAACCGGCTCGGTTCTCGGGTCCGGGTCCGGGTCCGGGTCCGGGTCCGGGTCGGGCCTAGGCCCTGTGGGGGGGGGGGGTCCGGGCTCGGGCCCTGTATTTGGCGAACCGGCCCGGCCGGGTCGGGCCCGGGTCCGGGCCAAAAAACTGTTTTTTTTTTCATTTTTTTGGGCTTTATTGGGTTGGGCTTGATGTTAAGGACCGGTTTGGGGGGGTGGGGGGGTGAGGGGGGGGGGGGGGGGGGGGGGGAAGAAAGGGATAAGGGTCAGATAAGGCCTCGAACTTGGAAAAAATGTCAAATAAGGTCATATTTAGGATGCTATGTCCGGATGACGCCATTTGGGGCGGTTCCCGATGGAATTTTTTGATGAAATTTTTTGAGAATCTTATTCATTAAGTCTAGTTTACTCATATCAAATTTGAACTAACAATTCAATCGGGAAGACATTCAAATGAATTCTTGAAGATAATTGCGCTTTTAACTGCACAGTTATCTTCAAAAATTCATTTGAATGTCTTCCCGATTAAAGTTTTAGTTCAAATTTGATATGAGTAAACTAGACTTAATGAATAAGATTCTCAAAAAATATCATCAAAAAATTCCACCGGGAACCGCCCCAAATGGCGTCGGCCGGACAGAGCATCCTAAATATGGCCTTATTTGACATTTTTTTTTCAAGTTTGAGACCCTATCTGACCCTTATCCCGGAAAGAAAAGAAAAAAAAAAACTAACCGGGTGGCCCGGCCCGGTCCGGCCCGGAACCGGACCCGGAACCGGTGGCCACCGGTTCGGGCTCGGGCCCAACAAAACAGACCCGAGGCCCGGCCGGGCCTAGGCCCGAACCGGGCCCGAACCGGCCCGGGGCCATCACTAGTCGAAACCCATCTTGGTTAAAAATGTTGACATTTAACATTGAGCATATACCGTAAGAGATAGGGATGGACTCGGTTCAGGCTGCCCGGAACCGGCTCGGCCCGGGAATCCGGTTCCGGTTTGGGCCTAGGTCCGAGAGGTTAAGCGGTTCCGGGCCCGGGTCATGAAAAAGGCGAACCGGCCCGGCCGGACCCGGTTCAATTTTTTTCCAATTTTTTTTCGTTTTTCCTGGGATGGGTGTTTGGGGGTGGTGGTGGTGGTGGGGGGGGGGGGGGGGGGGGTCGGAGATTAATTAGAAAAGCAAAAGAAAATTAAAAAAATAAGAAGTGAACCGGCCCGGACCCGCTGCTTACCCGGGCCAGTTCTGGTTTTTCCTTTCCAAAAAAAGCCCGGCCGGGCCCAGGCCTGAACCGGAACCGGCCCGACTCGGGTCCATCCTTAGTAAGAGACATAAAGTCCAGTAAAAAAATCACAAAATGGAAAGTGGGAAGTAGTGCTGGACTCGGGCCGGTTCGGGCCCGGTTCGGGCCTGGGCCCGGCCGGGCCTCGGGCCAGGAAAGGGAGGCCCGATCCCGAACCGCCGGTGGCCGGTTCCGGGCCAAACCGGGCCGGGCCGAACCGGCCCAATTAATTTTTTTTGTTCTCCTATTTAATCCCCTACCCCTCCCCCTCAACCCCAAACCATCCCAAACCACCTCAAATGGCCCAAAATACCTAATCCAACCTAAAACTTAAAAAAATTTCAAAAAAAAAAAAAAAAAAATTAAAATCCGGCCCGGACCGGGCCCGAACCGGCCGGGCCGGTTCACCAAAACCTAGGCCCGAGCCCGAACCACCCAGCATCCGGGCCGGGCCGAACCGAACCGGTGGACCCACCGGGCCCCGGGCCGGGCCGGGTCAAACAGTAACCGGGCCGGGCCGCCCGGCCCGAGTCCAGCACTACTGGGAAGTAGCATGGGATGCAGAGAGTATCAGAGTACTTGACTTTGCATGGTGAGTGGGGGTAAAGTCAAATATTGAGAAAGAACATGTGGAACAAATAACCAATTTATGTTAGATTTTGTGTCACAAGTTTATTGTAGTTTTTAAGTAAATAAAATATGAGGTGAAACATTAAATATTAGAGATGAACTTGGGATGCAAATACCAAAATGTGCATTGAAAATAACATTATGTGTGGAGTAAATAACATTATGTTTGCACCAATATAGAAATGCCAATTTAGTTGGCAAGCATAGCTATTCACTTATTGGTTCCGATTTGGAAGACTGTCTCCATGCCTCGATTTTTATTTAACAATGACAACTCGATAATTTATGAGCATGAGACACATCATATTTTTAACTAACAAATCAAGCATGAGACACACTCAATAATTTATCAAGCTTTAAAATACGAGACACATCATACTTTTAACCCACTTTATGAGCATGAGACAAATCAAAATAATTTGACCGAAGTCCATACTCGAACTGGTCATATGAATCAAGCTTTCGGCATACCTAAAATTTTGGGTAACTTTGGCATGTGATGGCATTACTTTGAAGGTTAAGCTGAGAAAGAATGGTATCAAACAGGCCAATTTTGACAAAGTGCATAATGGAATTAGAATTTCATGACATATCGAAGAATACAATACCTTAATTTCATAACTAAGAGCCCGTTTGGTAGCACCAAAATCGGCTGTTTTGGCTGATTCTGCTGAAATTTATGATATTCTGGCTGGAGTGGCTGTTTTGGCTGATTCTGCTGATTTAAGAAAAAAATATTTTAAAAATATATTTTATTAATAAATTAAAGAAAAAATTATATGTAAAAATAGCTAAAATGGTCCTCTACAGTAACTTCAGCCAATACAGCCAGAAAAGTAACTCCAACCTTACTTTTTCGGCTTATTACACAATTCAGCGCGCGAAAGTAAAAGTTACGTGTTTGGTGAAAAAGCTGGCTGAGAAGCCTGATAAGCCGAAAACAGAGTTCTCCAAACGGGCTCTAAAATGTCATTGCACACTGAGTATAGGATTGTAAACGAATCGAATAATTTTGATTCAATTCGTGTTTCGAATTCGAAAATGCCGATTCGAATTCGTGTAATTAGAATACGAATACAAATCTGTTTTTATTCGAATACTTTACGAATACGAATACAAATACTATGATATTCGATTCGAGTAATATTCGAATATATTCGAATTATATATATATATATATATATATATATATATATATATATATATATATATATATATATATTCATACAATATATACTACTTCTTATAAATAAATATAATTCAATATAAAAATATTAATAACGTAATATTCATGTAAATATTTTGCATATTTTAATTTAAACGTTCTTACTTTACCTGATAAAAATAGCTTAATTTAAAATTAAAATTCTCTGTTGATTTATTTATATTGACAATAAATTTGAAGTGACTTGTATAAATATATTTTGTTTCCTATGAAATATGTAATATGAAAATGAGTTAAAAGGAGCAAACTATACATCACAATTTTAAATATTTTCAAACGAATATATCAAACGAGAGTAGTCTTCCGGTCAGGTATACCTGACCGGAGCCCCGTACGGCCTCCTCCATTTGGGGGCCTTCCCGGTGGTATTTTTTGCTCAAATTTTTTGTGTAGGTTCCTCATCAAGTCTAGTTCATCCATACCAAATTTCAGCCAAAAATTCAATCGGGAAGGTCGTCAAATGATTTTTGCAAGTTAACTGGTCCGGAAAATACATATTCCGGATCAGTTAACTTGCAAAAATCATTTGACGACCTTCCCGATTGAATTTTTGGATGAAATTTGGTATGGATGAACTAGACTTGATGAGGAACCTACACAAAAAATTTGAGCAAAAAATACCATCGGGAAGGCTCCCAAATGGAGGAGGCCGGACGGGAGGAGTGGTCCGGCCTGGCCGGACCTGAATATTAGTCTATCAAACGAATCGAATACGAATATAAAATAAGATTCGAATTTTAAACGAATACGAATACGAATATTCGATAAGTTTACGAATACGAATAATATTATCAAGTATTCGGTTCGATTCGATTCGTTTACACCCCTAACTGAGTATAAGGTGTGTTTAAATTTGGTGGGCAATGAGAAACACTTATGGCCCGTTTGTTTGAAGGTTAATCTAGGTTTTTGCAGATTCAATTTTTAGTTAACCTCGTTTTTTTGTGTTCTTACAACAAGAACCTAGGTTATGACTTAACCTCACATAACTCCCGAAAACATGGAACATGTCAAATTGAAAAAACCTCCGAAGTGGGGGTTTGGAGGTTAAGTTCCCGTTCCACATAAAATAAGCGGATGACATTAGCCTGGGTTCATCTTATTTATTTCCAAACACTATTTTACGCATGAACATAAATTCACTAAAGTTAAACTAGTTTTTATTAAAGCTTATGTTTACTTTATTGCACTAAGTTTACTTAAGTTCACTTCATCCAAACAGAGCAATAAGGATATGTTTGGGAGTTGGGTTTTCGAGGGGAGGGAAGGTTGATTGGGGGGGGGGGGGGGGGTATGATCCTCCTTTTGATGTTTGGGAGTTCAAAAAATGGAAGTTAAGGTTTTGGAAGGTTTTTGTAACCATCCAAAACCCTCTAAAGCTCAATCCCAATTTAGAGAGTTTTGAAGGATAATTAACGAAATGATAATTTAAGCTCAATTAAAAACTAATATGACTTCAATTATTTGAATTTATCATATCTCAAAGTTATTTTAATTATAATTCCTTCAAAAATTCTTTACTTCCAAATTTATTACTCCCAAACACGAAGAAGGGCTTCCTCACTCTCTCATCCCTTTCCCCTCCAACAAC